TGAGGTCCGATGACACCATTTGCTCGATGTCGGTGCCCCAAGAATGTGATGGAGTGGAACGACTGACTGAGCTGCAGTAATCGTCCACTCTGAAGGGCTCGACATGGTCGTCTTGGAGAGCGGTAATTTTGGCTGGGGAGATACCCTGTGGTAGAACTTGCGTGGTGAGTGAAAAGTTGACCAGCGGAAGGAAGGTGTGGTTTCTCATAATCGTCAGAATCATATGCGGCACAACAACGCCATGCGACAGCATCACGGCAGAAATCGGGGCCACCTTGTTATCACCATTAGGTCAGGTACTGGCGGCGTGTAGGATAAGTCGACATGTGTGACAGAGTTAGGCGGAAGGTGCGTGAAATCAGTGCAGCAGAGGCTGGTTTGTGGTGGGCTGGCCGGGTCGGAAAAGAGAGGTAAATCGAGATGGAGAGAGCCAGCTGAAGAGTCTATGAGGGCAGAGTGCGTGACTAGAAAATCCATACCAAGAATGAGTTCATGAGGGTAATGTTCGATAACGGCGAAAAGAACGACAGTGCTTCTCTCCCCAATAGAAACTCGTGCAGAGCACATGCCAAGAATTGTGGCAGTTCCTCCACTGGTGACTCGTACAGCTCGGTTGAGAGCGGGCGTGACAACTTTTTTATGTCGGCGGCGAAAGTTAGCACTCATAATGGACACTGCCTCCCCGACATGAATAGGTCGGGGAGGCAGCACGGAATTGTGGGGATGACTGGGACCGATGACGAGCAGGGGACGGTGACCGGTCGTAGCGAGGTCTACTCAGAGGTGCTGCAGGAGCGGAAAATGTGGTCGGCGTTGATGGAGAAAGTGATGGGGACAATTGGCGGACAGAAGTGGCGTGATACTGAGGTGCATAATGGGACGGTGGAGCCCAGCGGCTGTGGCAGTGATGTGCGATATGACCAACGCGTCGACAGTTGAAACATATGGGCCTGTCATCACTGGTACGCCATTCGGACGGATTTCGTATGCGAGGAGCAGAAGAGGGACGATAAGAAGGCTCAGCAGAGTATACGGCAGGAACAGGATGTAGGCAGACATTCGATAGCTCTTGACGAACGACTCCTTGTATCAAAGAGATCATGGTCGGGGAAGGCGCAGGCGTCGGTAATGGAGTTGCTACTGGTTGTGCTGCCTCAACCTCTCGACGAATGATGCGTGTGAGGTTGTCACATTGAGGGGCCTGGTGGAAGGTGTCGTCACACGAAGAAGTGGCCGCTGTGTTCGGAAGGTGTACAATGCTTTGGGCTACGCGGCGGGTTTTAGCTTGTTCGAGACGTCGGCATTTTTTAAGGATGGTGTCGATGCTCGAGACGTTGTTAAAAACCAGCAGGTTCAAAGCATCGTCGACAATGCCTTTCAAGACGTGGTTAACCTTTTCATCTTCCGACATGCACTGGTCGGCCTTGGAACAAAGGGCCAAGACGTCAAGAATGTATGAGACATATGATTCGGTAGAAGACTGGGCCCGTGTGGCAAGAGCCTTCTTCGCAGCAAGCTGACGAACATATAAATTGCCAAACAGGTCGCGGATCTTTTTTTTTTTTAAGAGATCTCAGCTCGTTATTTCGGCTTCGTGTCTTTCAAACTATGTTCGGGGAGTGCTGCCCAGGTAGAAAAGCACGTTGGCGAGCATGAGCGTGGAATCCCAGCGGTGAGTAGTACTGACGCGATCGTACGGGCTCAGCCAAGTGTCATGATCAATCTTACCATCACCGGAGAAAGTGCCGGGATCCCGGAGGTGCGGGAGTGTGACGTAGGTGGTGGCTTGGACTGATGAGGGTGGCGTAGAGGAAGTACCAGCAGTCGAAGCAGTGGAAGGGTCGCCGATGTTGCGACCGCTGCGCGTATCCATCGTGATACAGGGGGTCGTCCACCTCCATCAACAATGTTATGAGTAACTTCTTTAATAATCTGTTCACAACACACAAAACTCAACGTGCAAGATGGCACCAGTCTAGCATCAACCCAAAAACTAACTTCGTCCTCCTCTTTCATGCAGGTAGCAATTAGGCAACATTGAAGGAAGCTACCACTGAGGCATCAAAACAAACCTGAGATAACAAGATTAATGACCGAATACGGCTGTCGCCTTGCTGTCTACCAGATGAATTACTGTAGAAAAGGTAGCTTATGTCTTGCGTTCCTTGAACTACGAGCGGATAACTGAAGGGAGAATGGTGCGTGTTACCACGTTACGGAATTTGTAAAGATTCTTTCTGAGCCACAAGCGACTTTCTTCTGGTTTTCCAGAAAGCTGTGACGCGATGGCGACGGATGGTCCTTCACTACAGCCATGGCTACAGCAAATTCTGTCGTCGTTCTAAAATTGCGTGCATGTAGTTGAGCCTTAAAGTTTCATTTTTGCAAGAAGTGACCGTCGGTTGGCGTGGGCAGTTTCGTGACCTTCGTTCGCTGTGTGCTTATCAGCTGCGATGTCTCTACACTCGCACCGTTCGTGAATGCTGCTGTGGCACATAGATAATTAAAAAAGACTCGGGATATGCCTCGCACAAATAGAAGAAAAAAAACAACACTGCATGCGGCAGCAGGTGAAGGTGCGGAGGGAGCAAGCCGAGGTAGCCGAAGGGGGTGGTATAATAGTAAAAAGGAAAAGATCCAGTGGGCTAGGAGGCACCTTGTGTCGGTTAGCGGGACTACACAGCATGATTGTAGGGGGTCCATTTATTATGTGGGAAAAAAAAAACAAACAAATTTTGATGACTGAAGTTGCATTTAATGTGCGAGTGCGTTCATTACGCAAGTATATATGTTGAGTGATCATTATTTTTTTTGCGGCTAAGTGTTTACGAATGCAGTAGCGCCGGCTGGCCACATTGAGCGCGCATGTGTGTGTGTGCGCGTGTGACCGCCTACAGTTTCACCTTTGCCAGCTGCCCACTACTTCATCCTTGCAAACATCCCACTACGCCCCATCACCGATCCAGCACTTCTGCGACCATGAAGCAAATACTCTTGAAAAGTAGCCAATATGAAATGCAAGATGGCTGTGTACTTGTATCCAGGTGTGCATTAAAATACCGTAGATTTTCTCACTGTTTCCATTTTTGTATGTATGTGACCACCTATAGTTCCACCTTTGCAAACTGCCCACTACTTTGTCCTTGCAAACATCCCACTGTACTCCATCACCGATCCACCACTTCACCGACCATAAAGACGTTATAATGAAAAAAGAATGGAAGCGACGTGTAGCTACCACTTACAAATTGTTGAATTTCTTGTACAAATATATACAGTATTTGTATATATAACCCTCCAGCGCTTCATCTTACTCATCATCATTCACTCCGTGGGTATGCTGTTATCTTTTCTTTCCTTTCTTTAGTTTTTCTTTTTAATATATATGGCTCTTTTCAGAGCACCTAAATGAAGCATTTGCTGAATTACCATGAGAATCCTGTACTCCTGCCATGACCCACTCCGTCAGCAAAAAATACCTATTAAAAAAGAAATGTTTTCGCTTGCAGTTGTTTTTCTAGGCTGCCCGATTTTCCGCCCATTTTCACGGTCCTTTGAGGGTCCGGGAAATCGGACGTGGACTGTCCTTTATTTTTTATCGATTGGAAGCTACATAGAATCTAATAGACACCTTCAATATTTCTTATGTCACGTGTTTGCTGCGGCAATCTCAAGAAGCATCACTACCTGCATTTTCTTTTTGCACCTATTCTCGGTGTCTTGTCACAGTAAGAGTGGTGTTTTCGGGATTGTGAATGTGTACTCCACTAATATGCAAAAAATTGTTTTGCACTTTTTAATGTCCCTTTCAAAGATAAAGCATTTGATGTACTATCATGTTAGCAGTAAAATTCATTTCCAAGTTGTGAGAGTCATTTATGTATTACAATAACCTGTAATAATGTGTGCAGTAAAAGAATAAATGAGGTTCTATTCCCATTTTAATTATGGTATATCCAACTCTTTGTTTATTGGTTGTTTGTATCAGAATGGACTCCTAGTGGGGCTTTGAAGACTTTCTTTTTCGGAAATAATGATGTTTTCCTAAGAAGGTTTGTCGGTCAAATTATCAGCATTTAAAAACTTGAGCTGGCAAAGACTTTCTAAGGCATTCGTAGACAATTTTCAAGTAGCTAAGGGTAAGTGTCATGGTTCTCACAGAACTAGAGAGGGAATAAATCTAGAAAACAAAAGACACATGGGCAAGCACTGGAAGGTAGTTTCTTTTGAGACTATGCGAGCTCTGTCGTGTTGCTCTGTTTTTTGAAAGGTGTTGCTCTGCTCACCTGATCGCCTGCCCTGACTGCTGGAGTCTGATGTAAATATAAAATGATGTGACTGCTCTTGATTTTATTGAGGTGGCTTAGTGGCACCATTACTAGCTTGAGGATCGGAGTTCAGTCAAGGATTAATGTTTCACTCAGTGTAGCATTGCGACTGCAGTATCTTGAATCTTAAGATGCACACTACATTATCGAATGTAACGGAAGTGCAGATACAGATACTCGTCTTGCGAGACAAATCGCAATACAGATATCAGATACGCAAAGAGTATTTAAGATAGTATCTCAGATAGTATATGTATTTTTCATACTGCCCAGCCTTAGATATACATGTGCAACAGTCCCATACTTTTGCATGGGAAATTCAAGGGGATTCAACATAGAAATTAATTCGATATATTCGAGTTCGATAAACTCGGAATTGATTGTATCAGTATGTCATTTTCTGGCTCATGATGTCGTATGAAGCGTGCACCCATAGGCGCAGGCATATGTGCATCATTCTGTGAACTTCTAAAGCTGTATTCAACTATCAGTGTGCCTTGCTTCATGCAAATATCATGTTTCGTGTACTTGTAAAGTTACAAAAAACTTCACTTCGGACAGAACAAGGTGTGCTTCTTAACTGTTCCAGTGCGAACCATTCAGACTGGTAACACTTTTTTCTGCTATTCCTGGTAGCAATTAAAAGTCATAGTGATAATTCTGTCATTTCAGCTGGAAGTATCAACTGGCCGCTTGGTGTTCGGAAACCGCTTGCTCCCGACAACCATTTCGATTCGTTTTGAGGAAGGTCATGCTATATACAAGACCAGAGCAGCTGCATCCAGGATTGACTTATTTCAGCACACACTTGACTGCCGACTGGACAGTTTCAAGGCAAGTGTTTTGAACTAGCTAAGCCCTGTGAGCCTTGGATGTAAGGCTGCTGTCCCTCCTATTCAGTGTATATTCTATGAAAATTTTTGTGTTACTAGGTTATGCTGGCCCCCAGCCCAAAGTACATTGGTGTACCAGATGAGCCGCCTCGTTTCATGGGTGAAGGCTTCGTTGTGCTGCAGTCAAACAGAGTTCACCTGTTCTACTATCAGGACGAAGCAGGTGGGTACACTAGGTAGCCTTCACAAGATGTTCCGGAATATATTGCTAAAGCATGGGTGCAACAGCTGTGCCAATTGTGCCAATTTGATACAATTCCTCATTTTCGTGCCGAGCTGCACCAAAACACTGAGATTTGCTGAAATTGGGCCATGCTGCACTAAAATGTCTGGCCATCTTCAAAATTTTCACAGTGGCGCTAGTTTAAGCTAGAAATTGAGGCCACGTTGGCTACTTGTAGTTTGAGTCGTCAATCAATCCAGGGATCTAGGCACGCAGACCCTAACCAATGGTGTATTTTGTTATACTCATTAGGTTGGAACACTCGTGAGCGACCAGATAAAGTAACAACGCTGTGCGGCCGCTGATATTGGTTCGCTGACCACTGCAGATCTCTATCGGTGGTACGACGCAACTTCAAGACAAAATGCGTTGCCATATCCATCAATGCTTCGCAGGAAATATAAATTTCCTGGTCAGGAAACGCGTCTATGGCATGTTAGAAACTAAAGGTGGAAGCGTATGCCGCTTTGCTGCTTTTACTGTGTGGTGCTGCGAACAACGGTGTTGCAACAGCCACACCGCCTGTACACAGCTACGCGCACCGATTCAGGTGGCCGTGCAACAGCACATGCAATAGGTATCCGCAGCTGTCGCTGGGCCACGACTGGGTTAACGGGTGTATGCTGTTGTTACTTAAATCTAGTCAAACACGCCTTGCAAGTGAGCCGAGTTGTGCCCTAAATCTAACCTCATCGTTAAAAAAGGGGGGGGGAAAGGGGGGGTGTGGCGGTATAAAAATTTCTTGGCCTTGTTCTTATCTGTACAGAACGCCACCTGTGCCGCAGTACACTGGTGCCCTGCAGAAAAGCGTTTTAAGCTTTCGAAGGGGCTGTTAGCACCAGTCGTGGGACACAGCACTGATTAATTACTCATGCATGTATACGCCACATAATTATGAGTACTAACATGATCATGATCACGATCACCATCATCATCATCAGCCCAACTATGTCCACTGCAGTATAAAAGCCTCTCCCGTGTTCTGCCAGTCAACTCGGTCCTGGGCTTGCTGCTGCCAATTTATACCTGCAAACTTCTTAATCTCATCTGCCCACCTAACTTTCTGTCTCCCCCTAACCCACTTGCCTTCTCTGAGAATCCAGTTAGTTACCTTTAATGACCAGTGGTTATCCTGTCTACATGCTACATGCCCGACCGATGTCCATTTCCTCTTCTTGATTTCAACTATGATATCCTTAACCCCGGTTTGTTTCCTAATCGACTCTGTTCTCTTCTTGTCTCTTAAGGTTACAGCTACCATTTTCCTTTCCATTGCTCGCTGCGTCGTCCTCAATTTAAGCTGTACCGTCTTTGTAAGTCTCCAGGTTTCTGCTCTGTATCTAAGTACCGGCAAGATGCAGCTGTTATATACCTTTCTCTTTAGAGATAGTGGCAATCTACCTGTCATAATATGAGAGTGCTTGCCAAATGTGCTCCACCCCGTTCTTATTCTTTTAGTTACTTTAGTCTCGTGGTTCGGCTCCGCGGTTATTTCCTGTCTTAAGTAGACATAATCTTTTACAACTTCAAGTGCACTGCTACGTATCCCAAAGCGCTGTTCTCTTTTGAGGTTGCTGTACATTACTTTTGTTTTCTGCAGATTAATTTTAAGAGCTACTTTTCTGCTCTCTTTGTCTAACTCTATAATCATGAGTTGCAATTCGTCCCCTGAATTACTCAGCAATGCAATGTCATCGGCGAAGCGCACGTTACAAAGGTACTCGCCATTAACTGTTATGCCTTACTGTTCCCATTCTATGCCTCTGAAAACCTCCTGTAAGCACGCAGTAAATAGCATTGGGGAGATTGTATATGGCAGCGATGGTATAGTGGTTAGAGCATCAGCCTTGCATGCATGAGGTCCGTGGTTCGAATCCTGGTGCTGTGCAGTTCCCAACCGGATTAAAAAAAAAAGTCTACATGGTGATGGAACTGCATTAAGAGGCTTGGGGTGCAGCCTCACTGGTGACCACTGCCGGTAACACACTCCCTCACCAGAGAAGGATTGGCCACCCTGGTGCAGTATCTGGCCACTACCTTCCACATGCATACGTCGATTAACATGATTGTTGACGTTCGAAAATGTTACTGACTATCAATTAGGGCGGTGTATGAAACTTCTTCTGCCCTAAATAATCAAACAAAACTGTGCGTCATTTTTTTTTTCGCCACCCCTACTCCTCAGTTTTATGAATCTTAACTGCACCTCAATGCAGCCATCTGACCCGCTAATCTTTGCAATGCAGAGGATCTTCCGTATGATCACCAGCCAGCTACTGCTGACCTCGGTGCGCATCTTTGCCCGTGCGTCACCGGGGTGCGCACTGCCGTGCTTTGCAGCGGCGTCAGGATGCTACCACCTGTCGCTCGTCAACAGTCGACCCAGGATGACCGTGCCGCAGGGGGGCAGTGGCTACCGGAACCCAAAGCATTGTGGACGGCCACATCATCATCGACGTCAACAACCCCGCTGCATATAAAAGCGCACCCGCCACCGGCACCGCCCCGTGGGCTTTGTGACTGCACCTCAACGCAGCCATCTAACTCGCTAATCTTTGCGATGCAGACGATCTTCCGTATGATCACCAGCCAGCTACTGCTGACCTCGGTGCGCATCTTTTCCGGTGCGTCACCAGGGTGCGCACTGCCGTGCTTCGCAGCGGCATCAGGATGCTACCACCTGTCGCTCGTCAACAGTCGACCCGGGATGACCGTGCTGCCAGGGGGGCAGAGGCTACCGGAACCCAAAGCATTGTGGACGGCCACATCATCATCGACGTCAACAGCCCCGCTGCATATAAAAGCGCACCCGCCACCGGCACCGCCCCATGGGCTCTGTGACTGCACCACAACGCAGCCATCTAGCCCGCTAATCTTTGCGATGCAGGTTAGTAAATCCTATGCGCTGTTTGCAAAAAAAAAAAACTAGCAATTACGTCTTGGTGCAGTTGCCGAGCTCACGGTGCTGTCTCGCCATTGCCGCCGAATGTGTTTTCGTTATTCATTTCTTGTTGATGTTGTCAGGAGATGTGAAAACTAACCCTGGCCCTGGCGGAAACGATGCCATGTTGACAGAACTTCAGAGAATAGCCCCAGGTCAATCCAAATTAATTACCGAAGTACAGGGCCTTAAATCTCAGCTAAACACTACTGATGGAACATTAACGGATTCATGCAAATGGATGACCGACCTAGAAGCACACTACCAGGCTCTTATTCCTATCCGAAACGACATCGAAAAGGTGCGGGCAGACACAAGCAGCATCTCTCGCAAGATTGAGGAGTTAGAAGACCGCCTAGACTACGCGGAAAATTGATCACGTCGAAATAACCTCATCCTTTATGGCATCTCCGACCCTACTGACAGCGAAACATGGAACGATTCCGAAAAAATAATTATCGATTTTTACCATAATAATCTAGAAATAACCGTAGGACCTCATGACTTCGAAAGAGCTCATCGCCTTGGTCGTCACTCGCTCGGTAGAAATCGTCCCATAATCGTAAAATTTCCATGTTTCAAAACAAAGGACTCGATCCTATCAAATGGCCAGAAATTGAGAAATACTAACTTTAGCATTGGAGAGGACTTTTCGCTCTCCGTTCGACACGTGCGAAAACAATTAATAGCATTTGCCAAGGTTAAATCTGCTAAGTTCTCGTTGCGGTATAAAACCCTGCACATCGGTCCGAAACGTTATATTTTGGATAAATTGTCTAGCACAGTTAAAGAAATCGCGCATAGCAATCGTCCTGTCACCATGTACCTACAAACCGACAATGCCCGGCACTTGCCAAACCACTCTCGTTTTCCGGGATATTTACTAACATCTGCAGTTTCCTTCCAAAGCGCGAACTCTTATCGAACATCGTTTTGTCATCCGGAAGCAATATACTGGTACTAACTGAAACTTGGCTCAACGATAACGTTTCGGACGCTGAAATTCTGACTGACTTACCTGAATTCCGCGTGTATCGTAGCGACGGAAAGTGTACTCGAGGGGGTGGTGTTCTGGTCACAATTCACCAAGATATATTGTGTTCTGTTGTACACGTCACATCTGACATTGAATCATTATGGCTCATTTGTCACGCTCCTCCCCTAACAGTACTTGGCGTTTGTTATAAGCCACCGCATACTAATCCAGACTTCTGTAGGCACCTAAACAATAGTCTAAGGCAACTTGTTGCCACTTACCCTAATGCTCGCATCCTTCTCTTTGGTGACTTCAGTTACCCGAACATCCAATGGCATAACCTAGGCATTTCCTCATTATTATGTCATGCAGAGGCTAAAAACTTCATTGACGTATGTTTAAATTTTAACCTGAGTCAGTTAGTCTCGGAACCAACACGCGTTACGCAAGAAACAGCAAACATCCTAGACCTAATACTAACTAACAGTTCTGAGAACCTTTCATCTATCAGTTATCTCCCATAAAACAGCAACCATATAATCATACATGCCCTATTCTCATTCAGTTTCGCTCCAAAGTACACATCCACAAAAACAATATGCCTTTACGACAGGGGAAACTACGATGCAATAACTGAAGACCTTAACACCTTTTTTCGAAGTACAAATCAGTGTTTCCCACTCGCACAGTACATGAAAACTGGTCGATATTCAAAAATAAATTAAGTGTGCTCACTAACATGTTCATTCCGAGGGTTACCTTTCATACTAATCACAATAAGCCATGGTTTTTTGTACGTTTAAAATGGCTGGAAAATAAAAAGAAACGGCTGTTCCGTTCGGCCAAACGCCGTGACACCCGGAGTGATTGGGATAAATACGTACTCCGAAGTTGAAAACTCAGATCTAGTTGAGATCCGGAAGGCCAAGCATACATTTTATCACGATGACTTACCAAAGCTACTAACCAGCAACCCCAGAAAATTTTGGCAACTTTTAAATCCAAAGCAGACTCACGACATCA